AGACTTAGATGGTCCTAGATTCAGAATATACATGGTGGTTCTTAGGGCATAATCCCAGAATGAAGTAGGAAGTGAAGAATAACTCAACATTGATCTTATCATGTCAAGCAAAGTCTGATTTCTCCTTTCGGCTACCCCATTCTGCTGTGGTGTACCGGGTGCAGTTAATTGGGATACCACACCTTCTTCAATCGAGAAAACCTAAAACTCTTAGTCTAGGTATTCACCCCCTCGATCTAACCGAAGTGTCTTGATTGGTTTACCTAACTGTTTTTAAACTTATGCTCAGAATTCTCTAAACTTTCTAAAAGTTTCATATTTCCGTTGCATTAGGTAAACATAACCATATCTCGAATAATCATCAATAAAAGTGATGAAATATTAATAACCTCATTTATCTTGGACGTTTAACGGTCCACATACATCCGAATGTATTAGCTGAAGAGGTTCTGTGGCTCTTTCTCCTTTCGACATGGAAGGCCTTGTGGTCATTTTGCCTCCCAGACAAGATTCATGAGTAGCAACTCCCGAATCTACTATCCAGGAATAAGGAATCACCCTTTTTACTAAACATGTTTTTAGAACTAGCAAATCATATTTGCTTGAGTTCCTTTCTTTATTTCGGGAAACAATTTCTTTGTAAGAACTAAGACTTAATAAAGAAAACAAACATGAGTAGCAACTCCCGAATCTACTATCCAGGAATAAGGAATCACCCTTTTTACTAAACATGTTTTTAGAACTAGCAAATCACATTTGCTTGATTCTTTTCCTTTACTTTGGTGGAAACGATTTCCTTTTGTCTTTTACTCATGGCTCTTACAGTATTTAGCCAACCCTTTTGTTTTATGGATTTCTAGATACGCTATCTGATGACCGCATTATCTCATAAGCTATCTCCATGCCTTCATACTTCTTGTGAATTACCACGCACAACCCTATCTAATAGTTAGCTACAGTGGTTTTGTTAGGGACAGGAGGACAATCCTCCATACCTGGGTCACTTTTAGTGTGTTATCAAAGGGGGTTGCCTAGGTCACCTCCTTTGGGTAGTCAAATTATTTACAAATTGAACCGAGACTCCTCTCAGTTTATAAACATACTCAAAATATCTCATATTTTCATATTTATTAACTACCGTTATTTTAGTCAAAATATAACCTACAACTTTGATTATATCTTCATGAGTGTAAACCACCGTTTCAGATCCCATAGACTTAACTCCGGATTACTACCTTTGGGTAGTCAAATTATTTACAAATTGAACCGAGACTCCTCTCAGTTTATAAACATACTCAAAATATCTCATATTTTCATATTTATTAACTACCGTTATTTTAGTCAAAATATAACCTACAACTTTGATTATATCTTCATGAGTGTAAACCACCGTTTCAGATCCCATAGACTTAACTCCGGATTACTACCTTTGGGTAGTCAATTCGAAAATACATCTTGAAATCTTATCTCTAGGAAGCCAACCTTGTTATTGATTCGGCAAGAACACTCTCCTTTGGGAGGGCGATTTAATGTCGCCGCAAAGCCCCTCTCCGGATCTCACGATGTTGCGCTAATGGTGGAGACTAGTGGGTCATATTGTCATACAACCCTCTCCCACTCATTATTTTGCAAATATGTATTTTGTTTGAAAAACATCTCATATGTATTTTGTTTAAAAAACATCTCATGGTTTTCAAAACGAAAAATAAACAATTTATTTTTTGGATATGTGAAATTCTAAAATTTAACTCTTAAATTCAATTTCACATGTAACATTATTTTGCAAATCAATTTTGCAACTTAAATCAATTTAATCATATTAAATCGATTTTAGCACATGGTTCTTATTTTATTTTATTTTTCTAAAACCCTTTTATAATAAATAAAATAAATAATAATAAATGCGTGTGTATATATGGCATGTTATAAAACATATGAGTAGGCACATTATATCTATATGACATGTTATATGCATGGACATATAATATATAATTATCAACATAAAATATAAATATATGCAATCGGCTATCGAGATGGATTTGACCGGGTCCCATGAAAATTATAAATCACAACCAAATTGAATAAATAAATAATTAAATAATTATTTTCTTCCGTTCCATCAACGGGTCTTCGATTCTTGAATTCTTCATTTTTCGGCTTCGTTCTTCATTTTCAGGTCGGATTTCACTTTCTTCAGGGTCCGAAACTCTTTCGGGTCTGTCAACACGCATTACGAGGGTTTCAGAAACCCTCACGCCTGTTTGGGGGTCCATTGACCGCGTTTGGTGCGCTAGCCGCGTGCCTGGCCGCGCGTTGTGCTCGCGTTGGGCGCGCGCTGGAATTTTTATTGATATTCATAAAATATTCATAAATATATGCACATAAAATAATGAATAAACTCTTTTATTAAATAAATAATAAATATCCTATTACATCTTATGCTTCTAGGACACCATTCCTAACAACTGCCTTGGTCACCCTTAGTGTCTTATCAAAGGCGGCTGCCTGGGTCACTTTTAGTGTGTTATCAACGGTGGGAGCCCGGGTCCCTTTTAGTGTGTTATCAAAGGTGACTGCCTGGGTCACTTCTACTGTGTTACCAAAGGCGGCTGCCTGGGTCACTTTTAGTGTGTTTTCAAAGGCGGCTGTCTGGGCCACCTTTAGTCTGTTATCAAAGGCGGCAGCATGGGTCACCTTGAGTGTGTTATCAAAGGCGTATGTCTAGATCACTTTTACTGTCTTATCAAAGGCGGCTGCCTGGGTCACTTTTAGTGTGTTATCAACGGCGACTGCCTAGGTAACTCATAGTGTGTTATAAAAGGCTGCTGCCTGGGTCACTTCAAGTGTGTTATCAAAGGCGGTTGCCTGGATCAATTTTTGTGTGTTATCAAAGGCGGTTGCCTATCAGTTATAGTGTGATATCAAAGGCGGCTGTCTGGGTCACTTTTATTGTGTTGTCAAAGGCGGCTGCCTGGGTCACTTTTAGTGTATTATCAAAAGCGGCTGCCTGGGTCAGTTTTAGTGTGTTACAAATGGCGGATGCCGGGGTCACATTTAGTATATTATCATAGGCGGATGCCTGGGTCACTCTTAGTGTGTTACCAAAGGCGGATGCCTGGGTCACTTTTAGTGTCTTACCAAAGGAGGTGGCCTGGGTCACTTTTAGTGTGTGATCAAAGAAGGCTGTGTGGGTCACTTTTATTGGATCAACAAAGGTGGCAGCCTAGGTCACATTTAGTGTGTTAACAAAGGTGACTGCCTGGGTCACTTTTAGTATGTCAGCAAAGGCGGCTGCCTGGGTCACTTTTAGTGTGTTATCAAATGCGGATGCCTGGGTCACTTTTAGTGTGTTACCAAAGGCAACTCCCTAGGTCACTCTTTGTGTCTTATCAAAGGCGGCTGCCTATTTCACTCTTAGTGTCTTATCGAAAGAGGATGCATGTGTCACTTTTAGTGTGTTATCAAAGGCGAATGCCTGGGTAACTTTTACTATGTTATCAAAGGCGGCTGCCTAGGTTACTTTTAGTGTGTTATCAAAGGGGGTTGCCTAGGTCACCTTTAGTGTGTTATCAAAGGTAGCTGCCTGGGTAACCTCTAGTGTGTTATGAAAGGCGGAGGCCTGGGTCACTTTTAGTGAGTTACCAAAGGCGGCAGCCTAGGTCACTTTTAGTGTGTTACCAAGGGTGGCTCCCTAGGTCACTCTTAGTGTCTTATCGAAGGCGGTTTCCCGGGTCACTGTTAGTGTGTTATTAAAGGCGGCTGCCTCGGTCACTTTTAGTGTGTTATCAAAGGCGGTTGCCGGGGTCACTTTTAGTGTGTTATCAGAGGCAGCGGCCTGGGTCACTTTTAGTGTGTTATCAAAGGCGGCTGCCTCGGTCACTTTTAGTCTGTTATCAAAGGCGGTTGGCTGGGTCACTTTTAGTGTGTTATCAAAGGCGGCTGCCTCGGTCACTTTTAGTCTGTTATCAAAGGCGGTTGGCTGGGTCACTTTTAGTGTGTTATCAAAGGCGGCTGCCTCGGTCACTTTTAGTCTGTTATCAAAGGCGGTTGGCTGGGTCACTTTTAGTGTGTTATCAAAGGCGGCTGCCTCGGTCACTTTTAGTCTGTTATCAAAGGCGGTTGGCTGGGTCACTTTTAGTGTGTTATCAAAGGCGGCTGCCTCGGTCACTTTTAGTCTGTTATCAAAGGCGGTTGGCTGGGTCACTTTTAGTGTGTTATCAAAGGCGGCTGCCTCGGTCACTTTTAGTCTGTTATCAAAGGCGGTTGGCTGGGTCACTTTTAGTGTGTTATCAAAGGGGGCTCCCTAGGTCACTCTTAGTGTCTTATCGAAGGCGGCTGCCCAGGTCACTTTTAGTGTGTTATCAAAGGCGGTTGCCTGGGTCACTTTTAGTGTGTTATCAAAGGCGGCTGCCTCGGTCACTTTTAGTCTGTTATCAAAGGCGGCTGGCTGGGTCACTTTTAGTGTGTTATCAAAGGCGGCTGCCGGGGTCACTTTTAGTGTGTTATCAGAGACGGTTGCCTGGGTCACTTTTGGTGTGTTATCAAAGGGGGCTGCCTGGGTCACCACTAGTGTGTTATCAAAGGCGGCTGCCAGGGTAACCTTTAGTGTGTTATCAAAGGCGGCTGTCCGGGTCACCTTTGGTGGGTTATCAAAGGTGGCTGCCTGCGTCACCTTTAGTGTGTTCTCAAAGGTGGAAGCCCGGGTCACCTTAAGTGTGTTAGCAAAAGCGGCTGCCTGGGTCACTTTTAGTGTGCTATAAAAGGCGGCTGCCTGGGTCACATTTAGCGTGTTATTAAAGGCAGCTGCCTGGGTCACTTTCAAAACATGTTATGAAAGGCCGCTGCCTGGGTCAGTTCGAGCGTGCTATCAAAGGCGACTGCCTGTGTCAATTTTAGCGTGTTTTCAAAGGCGGCTGTATGGGTCACTTTTAGTGTGTTATCAAAGGCGGTTGTCTGGGTCACCTTTAGTGTGTTACCAAGGACGGCTGCATGGGTCATCCTTAGTGTGTTTCCAAAGGCGGCAGCTGGGTCACCTTAAGTGTGTTATCAATGGCGGCTGCCTTGGTTACCTTTAATGTGTTATCAAACGTGGCTGCCTGGGTCACCTTTACTGTGTTATCAAAGGCGGCTGCCTGGGTTTCCTTTAGTGTGTTATCAAATGCGGCACCCTGTGTCACCTTTAGTGTGCTATTAAAAGCGACTGCTCGGGTCACTTTTAGAGTGTTATCAAAGGCGGCTGCGTGGGTCACTTTTAGCGTGTTATCAAATGCGGCTACCTGGGTCACTTTTAGCGTGCTATCAAAGGCAGCTGACTGTGTCACTTTCAGTGTGTTACCAAAGGCGGCTGCCTGGGTCACTATTAGTGTGTTACGAAAGGCAGCTCCCTGGGTCACCTTTAGTATGTTATTAAAGGCGGTGGCCTGGGTCACCTTTATTGTGTTATCGAAGGCAGCTAACTGGGTCACTTTTAGTGTGTTATGAAAGGTGGCTGCCTCGTTCACTTTTAGTGTGTTATGAAAAGTGGCTGCCTGGGTCACATTACGTGTGTTATCAAAGGCGGCAACCTGGGACAGTTTTAGTGTATTATCAAAGGCGGCTATCTGGGCCCCTTTTACTGTGTTATCAAAGGCGGCTGCCTGGGTCACCTTTAGTGTGTTATCAAAGAGGGCTGCCTGAGTCACGTTTAGTGTGTTATCAAAGGCAGCTGCCTGGGTCACCTTTAGTGTGTAATCAAAGGCGGCTGCCTGGGTCAGCTTTAGTGTGTTACCAAAGGCGGCTGCCTGGGTCACTTTTAGTGTGTTATCATAGGCGGCTGTCTGGGTCACTTTTAGTGTATTGTCAGAGGCGGCTGTCTGGGTCCCTTTTATTGTGTTCTCAAAGGCGGCGGCCTGGGTCACTTTTAGTGTGTTATCAAAAGCGGCTGTCTAGGTCATTTTTAGTGTGTTCCAATGGTGGATGCCTGGGTTACATTTAGTATATTAACATAGGCGGCTGCCTTGGTCACTCTTAGTGTGCTACCAAAGGCGGATGCCTGGGTCACTTTTAGTGTTCGACCAAAAGAGGCTGCCTGGGTCACTTTTAGTGTGTCATCAATGGCGGCTGCCTGCGTAACTTTTAGTATGTCATCAAAGAAGGTTGTCTGGGTCACTTTTATTGGATCAACAAAGGCGGCTGCCTAGGCCACATTTAGTGTGTTACCAAAGGCGGCTGCCTGGGTCACTTTTAGAGTGTTATCAAAGGAGGATGCCTGGGTCACTTTTAGTGTGTTGCCAAAGGTGACTCCCTAGGTCACTCTGAGTGTCTTATCAAAGGCGGCTGCCTAGGTCACTCTTAGTGTCTTATCGAAGGAGGCTGCCTGGGTCACTTTTAGTGTGTTATCAAAGGAGACTGCCTGGGTCACTTTTAGTGTGTTATCAAAGGCGGCTGCCTCGGTCACCTTTAGCTTGTTATCAAACACGGCTGCCGAGGTCACCTTTAGTGTGATATCAAAGGCGGCTTCCTGGCTCATCTTTAGCATGCTATCAAAAGCGGTTGCCTGGGTAACATTTAGTGTGCTATCAAAAGTGGCTACCTGGGTCACCTTTAGTGTGTTACCAAAGGCGGCTGCCTGTGTCACTATTTGTGTGTAACCAAAGGCAGTTGCCTGGGTCAGTCACCTTTAGTGTGTTATCAATGGCGGTGGCCTGGGTAACCCTTATTGTGTTATCGGAGGCGACTGCCTGGGTCACTCATAGTATTTTATGAAAGGCGGCTGCCTGGGTCACTTTTAGTGTGTTATCAAAAGCGGCTGCCTAGGTCACTTTTGGTGTGTTATCAAAGGCGGCAGACTGGGTCACTTTTAGTGTGTTATCAATGGCGGCTGCCTAGGTCACTTTTAGTGTGTTATCAAAGGCGGCTGCCTCGGTCACTTTTAGTGTGTTTTTAAAGGCGGCTGCCTGGGTCAACTTTATTGTGTTATCAAAGGCGGTTTCCTGGGTCACCTTTAGTGTGTTATCAAAGGGGGCTGCCTAGGTCACCTTTAGTGTGTTATCAAAAGCGGCTACCTGGGTCACCTCTACTATGCTATCAAAGGCGGTTGCCTGCGTCTCCTCTAGTGTGTTAACAAAGGCGATTGCCGGGGTCAGCTCTAGTGTGTTATAAAAGGCGGCTACCGGGGTCACCTCTAGAGTGTTATCAAAGGCGGCAACCTGGCTCACCAATAGTGTGTTATCAAACGCGGTTGCCTGCGTCACCTCAAGTATGTTATCAAAGGCGGCTGTCTGTGTCACCTTTAGTGTGTTATCAAAGGCGTCTGCCTGGGTTACTTTTAGTGTGTTGTCAAAAGGGGCTACCTGGGTCACCTCTAGTGTGCTGTCAAAGGCGGTTGCCTGCGTCTCCTCTAGTGTGTTATCAAAGGCGATTGCCGGGGTCACCTCTAGTGTGTTATAAAAGGTGGCTACCGGGATGACCACTAGTGTGTTATCAAAAGCGGCAGCTTGGGTCACCTATAGTGTGTAATTAAAGACGGTTGCCTGCGTCACCTCAAGTATGTTATCAAAGGCGGCTGCCTATGTCACGTTTAGTGTGTTATCAAAGGCAGCTGCGTGGGTCACTTTTAGTGTGTTATGAAAGGCGACTTCCTGGGTAACCTTTAGTGTTTTATCCAAGGCGGCTGTCTGGGTCCCCTTTAGTGTCATATCAAACGCGGCTGCCTGCATCACCTTTAGTGTGTTATCAAAGGCGGCTGCCTGGGTCTCTTTTAGTGTGTTATCAAAAACGGCTACCTGGGTCACCTTTAGTGTGTTATCAAAGGCGGCTGCCTGGGTCACCTTTAGCATGCTATCAAAAGCGGTTGCATGGGTTACCTTTAGTGTGCTATAAAAAGCGGCTGCCTGGGTCACTTTTAGTGTGTTATCTTAGGCGGATGCCTGGGTCACTTTTAGCGTGTTATCAAAGGCGGCTATCTGGGTCACTTTTAGTGTGTTACCAAAGGTGGCTGCCTGGGTCACTTTTAGTGTGTTACCAAAGGCGGCTGCCTAGGTCACCTTTATTGTGTTATCGAAGGCAGCACCTTTATTGTGTTATCGAAGGGAGCTGCCTGGGTCACTTTTAGTGTGTTAAGAAAGGCGGTTGCCTGGGCCACTTTTAGTGTGCTATCAAAGGCGGCTGCTTGGGTCACTTTTAGTGTGTTATCCTAGGCGGCTGCCTGGGTCACTTTTTGTGTGTTATAAAAGGCGGCTACCTGGATTACTTTGAGTGTGTTATCAAAGGCAGCTGCTTACGTCACTTTTAGTGTGTTATCAAAGGCGGCTGCCTGAGTCACCTTTAGTGTGTTATCAAAGGCAGTTGCCTGGGTCACCTTTAGTGTGCGGTTGCCTAGGTCACCTTTAGTGTGTTATGAACGGGGGCTGCCTAGGTCACCTTTAGTGTGTTATCAAAGGCGACTACCTGGGTCACCTCTAGTGTGCTATCAATGGCGGCTGCCTGCGTCACCTCTAGTGTGTTATCAAAGGTGATTGCCTGGGTCACCTCTAGTGTGTTATAAAAGGCGACTACCGGGGTCACCTCTAGTGTGTTATCAAAGGTCTGTATGGGTTACTTTTAGTGTGTTATCAAAAGCGTCTGTCTGGGTAACTTTTAGTGTGTTATCAAAGGCGGCTGTCTGGGTCACTTTTAGTGTGTTATCAAAGGCGGCTGTCTGGGTCACCTTTAGTGTGTTGCCAAAGGCGGCTACCTAGGTCACCTTTAGTGTGTTACCAAAGGCGGCTGCCTGGGTCACCTTTAGTGTGTTATCAAAGGCGGCTGCCTCAGTCACCTTTAGTGTGCTATCAAACGCAGCTGCCTGGGTCACCTTTAGTGTTTTATCCAAGGCGGCTGTCTGGGTCCCCTTTACTGTCATATCAAAGGCGGCTGCCTGCGTCACCTTTAGTGTATTATCAAAGGCGGCTGCCTGGGTCTCTTTTAGTGTGTTATGAAAAACGGCTGCCTGGCTCACTTTTAGTGTGTTATCAAAGGCAGCTGCCTGGGTCACTTTTAGTGTGTTACCAAAGGCGGCTGCCTAGGTCACCTTTAGTGTGTTACCAAAGGCAGCTGCATGGGTCACTTTTAGTGTGTTATCAAAGGCGGATGCCTGGGTCACTTTTAGTGTGTTATCAAAGGCGGCTGTGATTAGTGCATGATAATGCACCCTAAATACTGCTTTTGATTTATATAATATTAAAATATTTAACCTTTAATTAAGCAATTCCATTATTTTTTTTCATTAGTTTTTGCTTAATTATTTACAGATGAAAAGTAGTATAAGAAGCTACACTAAAATAAGCCATGAAAGCCATATTTTCAACCACCCGGAGCCAAGCCACTGCACTAGTCAGCGCGGAAATCCGTGCCCGCTTCTTCTTGCCATCGTGCACCTCGCACGTCAGCAGCACGTTGCTCATCAGAGCGCGCGTTCCTTCGTCTCTATGATTCCCGTTTGCATCTCCACCCCGGTAAGTTGAGGTCGCGGTGTACTGGCCCATTCGTAGTGAAACGCGTTTTTCCTAATGTTGCTGTCGAGGTTGAGGACCCAACAGATGGGAGAATCCTTAAAGGTAATGGCTAGCGTTTGAAAAATTACTTAGAGCAGGTGAACCAGGTTAAAGAGATCATTCTCGACGACCCCATTTACCAGCCCTGAGTAGTTGGCTCACATCTTCTGTACCATATCTTCATTTTCTGTTTTCTTTGCTTCTTTTTTACATTTTTTTTTTTGGAGAATCATATCAGGAAGCTCAAGTTGTGCTCATATGTGGAATGTCCATCGTCCATGTGTCTTCTTTCTCTATATTTCCATAATTTTTGACACTGAGGACACTGTCTGATTTTGGTTGGGGGTGGTGAGCATATTCATGCGTAAGAGTAATTTTTGTCATGTTGATATTTAGGTTAAAATTTTTGTGAAGTTATCTGAGTATGATTTCAAAATGATTGGTTCAAGTCGATTTTCGCTGTCTTGGTTACTAAGAAATGACTTTCAGAGTTTCTTTTTGCACGTGCTAAACCTTGTGGTAAGATGGATGTTAATGCATGTCAGCTGAGAAAATTCCCAAGTTTAAGTGCTTGATTTTTGGTGAGTAGAGTAAACGACTTTTGAACTTTCATTGATCTTTTGAGCTGGTAAAATCACTACTAGAATATCATTACATGGTTAGTGGTATGCTTGGTGCATATGCTTGAGGGATGGATTTTGGGTTAGATAGGAATGATCTTATGTAATAGAGTCTCATTTCTTATTTTCTATTAAAAAAAACTGAGCAAGAGCAACATTTTCACAGATCCTGTAGTTTGGTGTTAATCACATTCGATGCTATATAGCTGTTTGTTAAAAGAACACCTTTCTACATTCACTTCAGGTTGTCTCTTGCCAAAAAAAACAAAGAAAAACAAAGAAAAACAAAGAAAAAAGAAAAAAAAAAGTAATTTATTTTCCTATGCATTTTTTTGGCTCTTTGTTCGTTTCTATAAATTTCTGTTTGACCCGAATGAAATTCCAAAAGCTGGTTTGTCATAAGAATGGTGGAATGTACTAGTAGTTGATTAACCTATCTTTTGGTCAATGTTCGCTTGACTGTTTGTCCTAAATTTGACATTCCTCACACTGAGCATTGATTGTTCCGCTTCCAACTCCATGAGAGAAAACCGAAAGCACCATGCCAAGAAGACTGCATTCTTGACGGAACAAGTGAGCTCGGTGATTGAGCAGAAGACACCACTGAAGTACAAAGATCCTGGCTGTCCCACCATTTCCTGCACCATTGGGACACGCGAATTCAGCCAAGCATTGTTAGACCTAGGATCGAGTGTTAACCTCATGCCTTATTCAGTCTACTCGCAATTAGGTCTTGGAGATATTAAGCCCACATTTGTGGTTCTGCAACTGGCCGATCGATCTATTAAGAGACCAACCGAGTCAAGCCACCAAGCCAAGCCACTGCACCAGTCAGCGCAGAAATCTGCGCCCGCTTCTTCTTACCATCGCATGCCTCGCGTGTCAGTAGCACGTGGCTCATCAGAGCACGCATTCCTTCCACACAACAGTCAGCGCGCGTCCAAGGCTTTCCTCACATGGGTCTTGCACGACAGCAGCAGCATGCCTCTTTCTGCCGCGCGCGACAACTGTCCTCCACTCTACTCGCGCCAGCACACTCCAACCAATCCGCCCGCGACACGTGGCGCATTTTCTCCTCACTGCCAATCACGTTGTGACACGTGTCCCCATGGTGCTGAATCCGAATTTCTCCTTCAAAATCAGAGCAAATTGGCCAGATTTCTTCCCCAAATCAAATATATGATTTCTCCTAATTTATGTGTAATTTTATTTTATTTCCTTTTCTTTTGTAATTTCCTATTTTTATTATTTGTTTCCTTAATTGACATGCAACCTTTGAACACTATAAATAGAGAGGTTGGCCTAAGGTTTTCGGAAGTTTAATATTTAGTTTTCTGTCGTCTTGCTGTCAGTCTCATATTTTCTCTCTAGAACTTGTGAGAATGTTTTGCAAGCTAGGCTAGAGTTCTCTTGGTGAGGTTAGAGATGAACTTCTGTTGAGCGATCCAATTTAGAGTTTTGATTCCTTGTGCTGTAAAGTTAAACATCTGAATGAATTAAATCTCATCTATTTTTCTATTACTTTTCAAAATATTGTGTGCCAATTTTTATTTAAGTTCAGTCATGCTTTTCTTATATAATTCTGTCATGCATTGTTTTGTCATTCAAATTATTTTACAAATTGTCTTTTACTACAATATTGTTAAATTGATATATTGTCGATTTTTGATAACTTGTAATAATAATATTTTCTGAGCCAACATAGAGATTTAATTTATTCGATTCTTTTATTTTGTGAATCAAAACTTGAATTGGTGAACGAAGCATTAGGGATTCTCGACACCTTACTGTTTTTCTTCACACAAATTTCCTCCTTTTTATTTTATTTGCAACAAAAATCTCAAAAACTCACCTTTTTCTTTAATTCACTTTTCTCTAACGTTCTTATTCTGTTAGTCATTCTTGTTATTTTGTTATCTCTCTGTGGATACGACCTCCCTTCTGTGCTACAATTGACCACTTGTGAACATCACTTTTGGACGTTAATCAGGCTGCATGTGTCACTTTAAGTATGTTATTAAAGGCCGCTGCCTGGGTCACTTTTAGTGTGTTATCAAAGGCGTCTGCCTGTGTCACTTTTAGTGTGTTATCAAAGGCTGTTGCCTGGGACACTTTTTGTGTGTTATCAAAGGCTATTTGAAATGCTAAATCTATTTTTTTTCCCTTTAATCATTATGTATCAAAGGCTGTTGCCTGGGACACTTTTTGTGTGTTATCAAATGCTATTTGAAATGTTAAATCTATTTTTTTCCCTTTAATCATTATGTTTAAGCTTTTAAAGTCGTAAAAGTAATCTTTTATTTTTAAAATAAGGGACTTTCTCTTGTGTTCTCTCATTTTTAAGAGCACTAGTGTTCCTTGCTTTTCAGCCATCAAATTTGTATAATAAACTATTTATTCTGAATAATTTTTCAAGCTGGTGTGATTTTGACCAGCTTTAACGGCTAAAAAGTAAGAAAGTACAAGTGTTCTCAAAAAGGAAGAAACACCGGAAAAACTCCTTTAAAATAATTAAAAAATATAAAAGTTATAATGATTATATGAGAAAATAAATATTTTAACAAAAAGCAATCAAATGTCAAATTTCTCAAATCTTATACTTAGTAAAAATTTTGCTACTAAATATAACATATAAAAAATTTGGTATAATAAATAGCATTGTATTTGAGTGTTTTTTACACTTAAATACTAAATTTGTAATTGACACCTTAATTATAACATTGTATTGAAGATTTTTAAAATATAAACGCATTTAACTTTTTTTATAGCATATCGTTACGACAAAAACTACGAAGATATCTTCTAAATTTGAAATTTGTGTTGCAATGTGTCGCTGAGCACTCATTGGTCAAAATTATAAAGAAAAAAGACAAATATAACCTCAATTAAATTTAAAAAATATTTTTTTTCTTAAAATAGATTTTTTTAAAAATGTTTTAAATACCATATAGGAAATTTTTTTTTTTCGAAATTGTATGTTACAATTTAAAAATAGCATAGTTACATCGTAATTGTCAAAATCATTGTCATTTTTTATACTACAAAATCAAGCAATAATTATTATAATAATTTTCTCCAAAAATATTATTTCACTAATTTAGTTTAGCTCAATTTAGTTCAAACAGTGAACACAGTTTGATCTCCTATTTGGTAAGCATGCAACTCGAGTTATATTCCTTGTTTAAACTAAATTAAACTGTCAAATTTAAAATTTAACTCCATTTAAGTTTAACCGCTTAAACTATTTTTGAACAGTAAAAATTTGTCCAGTCTCTATGCTTTTCACACTTATCAAAGACAAATTTAAATTTTATTCCTTATTCGAATTAAATTTAACTACACGTCAAACGTTAATTCCAACTACAATTTAAACCACATAACTTGAATTTTTCTATTCAAATAAAAATGTTAAAATAAAAAAAATCAAATCATTAAACCAAACGAGGGCTCTATTTTTCTTCATATTTTAAGATAGATAGTCAGATTATTGATAACTCTATGAAATATAGTTATTTTACATCTAATTTTGTACAAAAATAGACTTAATTCTCAAAATTTTAATTTACTGTTAAATTTTTTTATTAAGGATTTAAATTATTGTGTTTTATTTTAGTTTTAATAAATTTGGTGTGTTTTTAATTTAATTTTATGTGTTTTATTTTATTTTAAATTTGGAGCAAAATGGTATAAAAACTGGTAAATTTAGACCACATTTTGGTATTTTGAATATTATAAAATTCAGTTATAATATATATTTGGCCTCGTTCATTTCACCGATTCGAGTTTTCAGTTTTAGGTTGCTACAGTAAAAAATTCTCAGAAAATGTCACATCTAACTTTTTCCGCTACAGTGAAAAGCTATCAAAAAATGTCACATCTCAACTCAAATCCACGAAGTGAACGAGGCCTTGATTTTAATTTTATTTTTATTTTCAGATTTGAATTTAGCCCGTTGGATCAAGAAAACAGACGACCTAGATGGAGCCGACAGAAGGCGCGTGAAGTCAGAAGTGGGCCCTAACACGACAACGCACTCCAGCCGCACCTGCTCCGCGCCAGCCGCTCGTCCAATCTGCACATGCCATTTCTCTCTCATGTCCCCCTGGAATCTTTCTAGCGCCATATCCTATGCAACGATCTTATATGAGCTTAGTTTTGTTGTCCATTTATACCGCGCCACATGTCCAACCCTGGAACAAGCAGCCCAGATTGGTTTGACTCTATGTTTGATTTTTCTTAGCTAATCAGATCCCGGTTTTAGCAATACCCTGCCGCACTGGAACAGCTGTGAAAAATTTGATTCTGATATCTCTCTCCACTTGGGCCGAATGAGAAATAAAAAGAAAAAAAATAATAAAAAAATGTAAATGG